TTTTTGAGATGGAGTCTTTCTCTGTCACCCAGGCTGGAGTACAGTGGCTCGATCTTGGCTCACTACAACCTCCATCTCCTGGGTTCAAGTGATTCTCCTGCTTCAGCCTCCCAAGTAGCTGGGACTACAGGCACACACCGCCATGTCCAGCTAATTTTTGTATTTTTAGTAGAGATGGGGTTTCAGCATGTTGGCCAGGCTTGTCTTGAACTCCTGCTTTGGCCTCCCAAAGTGCTGGGATTACAGGCATGAGCCACCTCACCCAGCCCACTTCTATTATTTATTTCAATCCAGTCTCTCATTCTCCAAGAATAATGAACCCACTTGCCTATTTACTATACTACAGTCACCTTTCAGGAGCCTGGTGTACCCAAAGAGAGACCTGAGCTCCATGGTCCTATGTCTCTGCACGAAATCATAGTCAAAAACGGTGGCCAGCAACAAAAAGTATTTAAAAACATTTCCAGGCCAGGTGCAGTGGCTCACACTTGTAATCCCAGCACTTTGGGAGGCTGAGGCGGGCAGACCACCTGAGGTCAGGGTGGCCCATGCCTGCAATCCTGAGGCAGGAGAATCACTTGAACCCGGGATTGCAGTGAGATTGCAGTGAGCCAAGATTGTGCCATTGCGCTGCAGCCTGGGCAGCAGAGTGAGACTCCATCTGAAAAAAATTAAAAATAAAAATAAAATAAATAAAGGAATTCCAATTCTAGTTACATCCTTTAAAGTCTGTCAATAAAGACCTACCCATGACTGACAGTCACACTTCATAGAAATCTCCCTCTCCTCCATTCCTCTTGATCTGAGCATCTCTTTCTCATTACTCTCGCCTCTTTTCCTTTTTCTCTAGTCAAACACTTGTGGCTCTTTACAAACAGGGACACATATTGATTTAGGCCATCCGCTATTCTTTTATATTTACACTCCACCCCCTGACCCCCTGTTGCTGAAGTGCAATTCTCTTTGGAGGCTTCTAGAGCTGCTGTCAGATTCTTCGTGATTCATAGTTTGTGCCTGAAATCCTTAAGGTTGAGGAATGGGGAAATTCTCTAAGAGAAGTGGCATTGTCACAGGTGAGAAGGGCAAGAATCCTCAAGCCTCTAGGCTCCCACTAGATGGTCTTCTTTGCCACAGCAAAAGAAAACGTGGGGTCATCTCTCATCTCCCCAGGCTTCAAACATGGTCAATAAATTCTGGTGTGAAAAATGCCAAAAAAAAAGCGGCCAAATATTCACTGTGATAGTTTGCCACATACTCTGTCACACTGAAAACAAATCAGGCTGTGAAGTCACTCATCTGAGCCCAGCTGGCTCACCAGAGCCCCTTGATTTGGGTTGGAGAGCAGCTAGCCCCCATGCACTGAACTCATTGGCCGGAGATCTGGATAAGCGGCAGGGGCCTGTCTGTGCCATTTGTGTGTTGCTACTCCAGACCTTAATTCTGCCATGTGTTCGATTTTTCTAAGGGGCATTCTGGTTTCTTTTTCTCTTCTTTAGCCATCAATAATTCACCAATTCTGAGAATTCACTGGGATTGTGGAGGTCGTGATAATGTCTTCATTAATACTTTTAGTATAAAGAATCCTTACCTTATCCTGATTTAAGTGTCGAGATCTTCCAGACCGTGTGCCGTGGACCCCTCTTAATAGCCTACTCTTGATGAACACATTGGTGAACCTGCTTTCCTATCCATGCTGAAGAATATGGTTATGAATCTGACATTTGAATCCCAAAAGTATCCATCCATCCTGCCGTATTTTCTTTAGAGAGTAAAGAAGCTACAGCCAGGTGCTGTGGCTCATGCTGGTCAACCCAGCACTTTGGGAGCCTGAGGCTGGCGGATCACTTGAGGTCAGGAATTTGAGACCACTCTGGCCACCACGATGAAACCCCCTCTCTACTAAAAAATGCAAAAATTAGCTGGGTGTGGTGGCACACACCCGTAATCCCAGCTATTTGGGAGGCTGAGGCAGGAGAATCACTTGAACCCAGGAGGCAGAGGTTACAATGAACTGAGATCATGTCACTGTACTCCAGCCTAGGTGACACAGCAAGACTCTGTCTCAAAAATAAATAAATAAATATATAAATGAATAAATAAAATAAAAAATAAAACAGAAGCCTCATAGCAAACTAACAGTTTTTCTGTTTTGAAGCCCATTAATACCTTTTTTTGTTTATTTTGTTTTTTCATTAATACCTTTTCAAGGGAAACCCTGGGGATTGTCACTTGGTTTAGTGGCATTTCTCAGCCTTCAAGCCTTTTCATGCCTACACCATTGCACTGGCAGGTGTTGACCATGACTTAAGTCTTTTTCTCAGATCTTTGACCTTGCCCTCTCTATAAATTCCCTGGGTCTCTGGTTACCATTCACCTGAAGCAGCAGTTCCAAAGCCTACTTTATTTGGTCTCCATGGTGGAGCTGAGCAGAAGTCACAGACCTCTTCTCACCTTCCAGCAGGAAATGGGTTAAAAACTAGCATGTGGGCTGGACGCGATGGCTCACCCCTGTAATCCCAGCATTTTAGGAGGCTGAGATGGGCAGGTCACTTGGGGTCAGGAGTCAAGACCAGCCTGGCCAACATAGTGAAACCCCGTCTCTACCAAAAATATAAAAAGATTAGCTGGGTGTAGTGGTGCACACCTGTAATCCCAGCTACTTGGGAAGCTGAGGCAGGAGAATTGCTTAAACTCAGGTGGCAGTGGTTGAAGTGAGATGCCGCCACTGTACTCCAGCCTGGGTGACAGAGCGAGACTCCATAAAACAAACAAAAAAAACTAGCATGTGGTTTGTAACTACAAAGGGTTATTTTTTGGCTTTTTCAATTTAATGTATTTATTAATTTGGTTCTCTTTCTGGAATAACTAGTGCTAAGCAACCCCTTGCCTCTCAAATGTGATTCTGATGCAAGTATCTTTTCAGAGGTATTGAATTTTGCAGCTGTAGCATGGGTTTGTCCTTCTTCCACGTCACACTTTAGCTGAAAGTCTTCGTGGTCAGGATAGAAGGTTGTTTTAATTTTAATGAGGAGTGTGCTGTCCTGGCTAGGCATTACTTTTGGTCTTCTAAGATGTAGTACAAAAATCAGAATTCTATCCTTTGACACCATCTAATTTGCTGGTTTGTTTCCAATATCTTTGTTTCCTTTTATTTCCTCTTCAACATATATGTGTTGAGCAGTCAAGAGCTACACAGGGTACGAAATACAAAGAGTGTAAAAGGATTTTCAGTGGAAAGACAGTCTTCTACTCTTACCTTATCTTCCAGTCTCTCTCCTTGGGCGCACACAATTACCAAAGTCTCTCTTCTCTGTGTGTTCAAAACCATGAGTATTGAACAAACAAACAAACAAGAAAAGCCACACGTGGGGATGTTGTTTTGCACCTTGACTTTTTTTCTCTTATCTATCCCTTGTTGATAATTTCCTGTCAGTGACATGGAGTTGTCTCTCTCTCTTTTTTTTTTAAACTAGCTGCCTGTGGTTGCCCTGTAATGTAGCCAGAGCCCCTGTTGGTGGATGTTCAGGTTGGGTCTGGGTTTTTAGTCTTTTTGTTTTCATAGATAAACTGTTAACCAGATGAAGAGAGGTAAAAATAGCTCCTATTCCTGAAAGCAACTTCAAGGTTGCCACCGATCGTGTGAGCTCCTATCGAGCTGTAAGACGTTTCTCACATAAGTCAGCTGGTGAGTGTTTAATGGCTCTTGGCAAGCTTTCTGTCAGAGCTTGGATCCGTGCTTAGGGATACTGCAGAGCTCCTAATCCACTGTATTAGGTCTACATGTGGCTATTTCTGAATGCCCAGCTCTGTTTTTCCCTCTCCCTTTTCTCCTCTCTTTCTATGCTATCTATGAGAAAACACAAGAATAAATAGCAGAGACAAAAAGTGGCATAAGAGTTTGGAGGATGACTGGGCACGGTGGCTCACACCTGTAATACCAGTACTTTTGGAGGCCGAGGGGGTGGATCACCTGAGGTCTGGAGTTCAAGAGCAGCCTGGCCAACATGGTGAAACCCTGTCTCTACTAAAATACAAAAAAAATTAGCTGGGCATGGTGGCAGGCGCTTATAATCCCAGCTACTTGGGAGACTGATTCAAGAGAATCGCTTGAACCTGGGAGGCGGAGGTTGCGGTGAGATGAGATAGTGCCATTGCACTCTAGCCTGGGTGACAAGAATGAAACTCTGTCTCAAATAAATAAATAAGAGTTTAGAGGAAAGAGACATATAAACTGAAGAACCAAAAATATATAAATATATTGGAGGTAATATTTGAGTAGGGCCAGGCCAGGGGATGACAGAAAGGAGGAGTAGCTTTGTGCAGTGGCAGTATCGTAGCCAATGAAGTTTATCTGAGGCACGATTATTGCTAATTAAAAACTCTTCCCCATACCTCGCAGTGACAACTTGCAATATAGTAAGCATTGGCAATTTTTGACAGTGTCTACGGAGACTGAATTTAAAAAAAAAAAAGATAGGAGGAGTTAGTAAATTAAAGGCAAGGAAAACAGAAAGAGCAAAGGCAAAGGGAGGTGGCCACAGCTCAAATTTAGCAGACTGTGAGATCAAGCAGACTGGAACAAATGTTTCATGCTGAGGAGAAGAGGCAGATGCGGCAGGATAGATAAGGTGGAACCTGATCTGGAGGATATGAATACATGGATGGCAAGCTGATATTTACTCTTAGAGGGTCTAAGATAAGTCTGGATATCTGGTATTCCCAAATTGTTCTTTCTCAGGAATGTCTTAACTATTATTGATCCTTTGTTCTTCCACATAAAATTTAGAATTATCTTGTCAAATTCTCTTTGGGATTGTACCTGTAATAGCACTGGTTTTGCAGATTAATTTAAGGGGAACTGACATCTTTACACTTTTATCTAACAATGAACATGGTATATCTTCTCATTTACTTATGTATTCTCTTTGTTTTTTTGAAACAAGGTCTTGCTCTCTTGCCCAAGTGGAAGTACAGTGGTGTGATCTCAGCTCACTGTCATCTTGATTTCCCAGGTTCAAATGGTCCTTCCACCTCAGCTTCCCAAGTAGCTGGGACCACAGGCACATGCCTTCATGCCTGGCTCCTTTTGTTTATTTTTTTTAGAGGCAGGGTCTCACTATGTTGCCACAGCTGGTCTTGAACTCCTGGGCTCAAGCAATCCTCCTGCCTCAGCCTCCCTAAGTGCTGGGATTACAGGTATGAGCCACTATACCTGGTTTAGGTGGTTTTTTTTTTTGTTGTTGTTTTTTGAGACAAGTCTCATCCTGTTACCTAGGCTGGAGTATAGTGGCAGGATCTCAGCTCACTGCAATGTCTGCCTCCCAGGTTCAAGCAATTGTCCTGCCTCAGCTTCCTGAGTAGCTGGCATTACAGACCTGTACCACCACACCCAGGTAATTTTTGTATTTTTAGTAGAGACAGAGTTTCACCATGTTGGCCAGGCTGGTCTCGAACTCCTGATCTCAAATGATCCGCCCACCTTGGCCTCCTAAAGTGCTGGGATTATAGCCGTGAGCCACTGCATTGGGCCAGGTTAGATATTCCTTAACAGCTCTCAATACAGTTTATTTTCTTTTATAGGTTTTACTAATCTTTTGTATGATATATTTGTTGTGGTTTGTTGCTACTGTAAATTATATTTTCAAATTGTATTTTCTGTCTATTGCTATTTTAGAAATATAATCAATTTATAAATATTGATTTTATATCTAATAAATTTACCTATAGACTTTGGGGGGTTTCTATGTAGAGAATCATATAATTTGAAAATAATGATATTTTTGTACAGTCATTTTCAATCCTTATACATTTTTTTCTTTTTCTTTTCCACAGTTTTCTGAACTGGCTAGGTTCTTCAAGACAATGTTAAACAGAAGTGGCAATACTGGGTACCATTGCCTTTTTTAAAGGGAATGCTGCTAATGTTTTATCATTAAGAATCGGGCTTGTAGGCCGGGTGCGGTGGCTCAAGCCTGTAATCCCAGCACTGTGGGAGGCCGAGGTGGGCGGATCACGAAGTCAAGAGATCGAGACCATCCTGGTCAACATGGTGAAACCCCGTCTCTACTAAAACTACAAAAAATTAGCTGGGCATGGTGGCGCGTGCCTGTAGTCCCAGCTACTC